TGATTTTATGTTTTCAATCCCACCTGTTACTCTGTCTCATCTCATACTCTTATTTGTTTGGTTTGTGGAGAAGCATATATTTTTTAAAAGCTATCGGTTACCTTATTGCTTCTATTTCTACACATCTACATGTGGCCGCGATCCACTGCTGTTGTGAAATTCGTTCAGACAACTATTGAGGTCTTCATCGGTGGTGGACAGCGCCGATACTGCGAAATAGCTGCCCGCGACACCACTACCCTGCCGTTATTTGAAACCCTTTACGCCTCCTTCAGTCCCTCCTCTCTTTCGTGGATTCCTAATGGACGAGAAACTCGAAACGGCTGAGAAGAAGGTAGGGTGTTTCGACGTAATTTTTTTTATTTATATTAGTTATTGCAGCAAGCATTGCATTTTGTTTCGTTCTGTTTGCTAAATTGGATTTTGTAATTCTTTTGGTTTAGCAAGTGGATTAATCGAAGTACTTACTTTTGAAGTATAACGTTACATTTTTACTTGAGCTCAGTTTTTATGAACAGATTCTTGTTGAAATCGTGAAGTTAGTTCAAAAGCGAGGACTGGAAGGCACACAAGGAGGATGGTAGGATTTTTTGAGAAGTTATGACAAAAAATTCGGTGCTTCTTTGAGTGATCCTTCGAGGCGGACCAATGATGTCTTAGTATCGTTTCTTAAGACATTTACTAAAAAGGATGATTTGAAAGTAAATTCATGATTGCATATTGTTTTCAATTACTCTATTTTTTTGGTAATCTTGGTTTGAGGATGCTAATGTTATGTTTTTTCCCTCTCACTTGCTTGTTTGCAGCTTTTCTCTATAGTTTTGCAAAGTCATTCAAATAGAAACATAGTGGAACAATTTAGAAAACAATCTTGGGACATCGAATCCCCTGAGCAGGTATAATGACATTTTTCTGAGGAAATTCATATCTTGATTAGCTTTGTAGTGCTATTTTGTAATTGGTCTAATTGGTTATGTGGCAGTGCAGAGTCTTGTTCGTTTAACTCTGGAACACCCCCAATATCTACTTGATTATGCCTTCCCGACAGTGGATGAGGTTAATTACTGTTATCTCTTTTTGGTTTCTGCTTTAACCTTGTTTATGCTTCTATCCATCCTTCAGAATCCTGATCGGTTATAATAAACTCAGGGATGGATTGTTACCAAGCCCCCTAAAAAATCTCAGGCGATGAAGTCAAATGCAATGATTGCTGTTGATTGTGAAATGGTTCTCTGTGAAGATGGCACTGAAGCATTGGTGAGAGTTTGTGCTGTAGATCGTGATTTACAGGTATCAAGCGTAATTTCTTTATAGAATTATAAAAAAGGGGGACCTTTGATACTGCAGCATCTTAATGTAAACTAGTTTTCGATAAACCACCTCAGAAGAATATAAAACTTGCTATGTACTTTCCTCTTCCATGTTTCTAATTTGGCTATTGTACCCTCAAGTTACTTCAGCTAAATGCACTTAATTGGTATATATCATTTATTTATCTTTTTCTATCTAAAATGATTTTTTTCCGGCTGCGTTTGGTCTTTTTTCAGATCAAAATCGATCAACTTGTGAAACCAAACAAAGCGGTGTCTGATTATCGGACTGAGATAACTGGAGTTGCAGCAGGAGACTTGGATGGTGTTACTTGTTCAGTAGCTGACATACAGGTATGGAATGGCTAATCTTTATGTTTCTTGGACCTCCTTCAATGTTTGTTTATCTGAGCTATGGAACATTTCATAGAAATCCATGAAGAAACTGTTATCCGGTGGAACTATTTCAGTAGGACATAGTTTGCACAATGATTTGCAAGGTATGTTGCATAATGGCTAAAAGTTTGATTTCATTTTATGGTGGAACCAACTGCCTATTAGGTCTTGGTTATGATTCCTTTCTCATCCTTCAAATTTTGCTGTTTTCTTTATACAGTTTTAAAGATAAACCATGCAAGAGTGATTGACACCTCATATATCTTCAAATATTCGGATGCACCTATCCTTAGAAAACCATCTTTGAATAACTTATGCAAGGTAAGTATTAGTAGTTTATTTTTCTTTAAAATAATAATAATAAAAAGCACATTTTTTGTGGGAAAGAACCAGAAATGCTGCATGTGTTGTTTGTGCATGTTTCACATCTTTTAGATTAAATGCTGCATTGCTTTTCCTTTTTGGCTACTCAAATTAAGAACTCATATGTTTAGGATGTTCCATGAATGAGTTATCAATAAAAATATTAATATTTTTGAGTTCTGACTATTTAACTACAAACTATGTTACCCTCCCTTTTCATTTTCCCTGAAGTAACTGTATCTGACACTTATTTGGATATGAGTATTGAGGTATAACCCTCCAAAATATATGGATAAAGAATGAATTGAGCATAGCCGTAGCAACTCTTTCCGTGTCTGGGTAACCAGAATTAAGAGTGCTTTGTTCTTAGTGAAGAACTTGCATGGTGCTATGGAAAGTGAAACCTACTGGTAGTTTTAGATGCTTGTTTTAGGTTTTAACTTTCTGTGCATTGTTTTTACAGTCTGTACTGGGATACGAAGTTCGAAAGCCAGGTGCTGCTCATAATTGTCTAGATGATGCATGTGCTGCAATGAAACTGGTTCTTGCTAAGCTAGAGCGTGGTGAAATCACCCTGGTTCTAGATGTATGGAGTTTGACCGCTGGTTATCTTTATTTTCAATTGTTTATCATTAACATCTACGCATATCTAGTTCTTTTTCCTCTCATTTTTTTTTGGAAAACCTGGCACCTGAACCGGAAAGGGAGAAGCTACTACTCCACAAAATACCAGTCAATGTTCGTAGAGAAGAAATTTCCAGAATCATTCCTGGAGCTGTTGCAATTGAACCAAAGGTTGATTATATCTTCTTTCTTCTTCTCTTTAGAGGTCCTTGGCTTAGCTTTTCTTTACGCGGATTTGTTTCATATCTTATGTTTAAAAGATTGAGACTAGTGAAGAGATGTTTTCTCTTGAGATATTCCCAAATACTCTGATAAACTGCACTTCTGTGGCACTTGAAAGTTGAGCTAAATTCTTAAATCTCAAATAACCCTTTCATTACAGAATCTGTTCTTGTTTCTTTAATCGTCAATGACATGGATCTTGAGACTAGTGAAGAATTGGTCAGACATGGGTCTTTGAAAAGCTCTCTCCCATCAAGCTTCCTTTTTTCATTTATCATTGCCAAGTTTCTAATATGGTGAATTATTTGTTGGCAGCCATCTAAAAAGCTTCAAGGTCGTCATTATTCTGCATTTGCTGTCTTTAATAGTCCTCCAGAAGCAAGCCAAGCATATGAAAATATGGATGGCGAAGAAGAGAAGGTGCATATTTTTTGAACTACCCTGGTTTTTCATTCACAGGGCCACAATTTCTTCACGATATATCAATCATCAAATGTTCATTCTGCAGCATTATGATGTTCTTCGTTGTGATGAACATTTTATGAATGTCGATGCCATCAATGGGAACACCCTTTTGTGTCTTTAATGAAGTGCTAACTTTGGGTCCTTTTATCTCTTATGTCAGGATTCATCCGGACTGCCTCAGAAACTAGTTAACTTTCAGTTTGGTAATGGAAAAAACGCTAGTATATACATCCGAAAAATGGCACAGGACCATTCTCATCGTGAAGTTTGGTCGAATAAAAGAGCATTTGAGGGCGAGGAAAAACTGATCAAATCCAAAAGGTTGAAGACGGACGAGGAAACAGCTCATGACAATTCTCTTACCGAAGTTCCGTCAAATGAAAGAGCAAAGGAATCGACCGAATCCACAGAAGTGGAGACAGATGAAAAAATCGCAGAGGAGAAAATTGCGGAGGAGACGAAGGAAAATTCCAATCAGCCTGATGAGCACTTAAAAGAGATGGAACGATTGAAGCAAGAACTGAAGGAAAAAGATGCTAAAATTGTGCTGCAGGAGAAGATGATATCTAACCTTGTAAAGAAGGTTGATGAAATGAAAAAGGGTCTTAACAGAAAGAAATAGGTTCAACTCATTGTCATCGACTATTGTTTTTTATAGTCTCACTTATGCCCGGTACGTTGCAAGTGTTGTGTTCAGTTTTGCTGGAGTTGGGAACGCCATGCCTTTTGCCTTGTGGAATTAAATCAAACTGTCTTCAAACACGTCTCATCAGATTTTGCAGAATTTTATAATTTCATTGATCAAATTATAAATTGATTTTTAAACTTTAGAATATTTTAATTGGATATTAAAACTAAAATATTATTTTATTAGATTTTTTCCAGTTTAATAATTCCTTTCACTTAATCTTTAAACTGATTTTTTAAGCTTTAGCATAATTTTTTATCGGTTTAATGGTTAGTTGATGTGATTTTTTTTAAGTTTTGAATCATTTTATCCGATACTATTTAGGATCAAACTTTAAATCTTAAGAGTATAAATAAGCAAAATATTAAGTTTCAAAATTCATAAAATATCAGGGATATTGTCGCATTTAGTACTAGTATTTTGATAAAATATTTAATGTGATTTTATATTTTTAGAATGTCTAATGCAATACATATATTTTAATAAATTATCAAATACGGTACTTGAATTGTTATTATGTATATATTATTGTAGTTCATGTATTATAATATTATAATAATACATATATTTATTAATGATATTAACTCAGGTATCATAATAAGACATATAATAATAGTTTAAATATTATAATAATACACAAGATGATAGTTCATGTATTATATTAAATATTTAAATAAAATAAACATATTATATTAAATATTTTAGAAATATAAATACTTCATGAAATATTTTATCAAAGTACAAGTGTAATATTAGAGAATTAATCAAAGGATAAGTATAACATTGAATACTTTTAAAATATGGGTACTAAAATGGATATTTTGAAAAGATATGTACCAAATACGGCATTATTCCTAAATATGAAAATGGTATTTTTGTTTGAAAAATGGGAAAATCATCTGAATACATAAGAAAAAGGGGAAGGAAAAAGGTCGGGTTCAGCGCAAGCAGTGGATGACGTTGACCTCACAAAAAACAAATGTGCTGATTCTGAAGCAGGGGTCGAAAACCAGAGGCTTGGAAAGGCTCTGTAGAGTTAATTATAGGACGAAGACTATGTTAAAAAAGCTTACAGGAAGGAAGTGTCCTGTTTTATCAGAAAAATAAAATAGGCCTTTGTTTGCTTTGTGGGGTCCTCCGATGGAAACCAGACCCAATGGAAGTTCCCTTGGAGGTAACGATGCATCCAACGTATCACGGTGGATCTTCGAGATTTCCCGGCGGTACCGGCACGTCCTGGACAAAATGATCCCGCACATTGTGAGCCGTTGGATCGGATGCCTGACTTTAATGGCGCTCTACGCCGTACGCGTGTACTTGGTGCAGGGCTTTTACATCGTCACTTACGGCCTAGGCATCTACTTGCTGAATCTGCTGATTCAATTCCTTTCCCCTCAGGTGGACCCCGAGATGCAGGACGGCCCTTCCCTCCCCACCCGTGGATCCGATGAGTTTCGCCCTTTCGTTCGCCGACTCCCCGAGTTCAAATTCTGGTTCGCCATTTCCCTCTTATCTATTCCGAACTGCTGCGATTTCATCATTTGATTGTCTTCAACTAAAATTAAACCACATTTAATTGAATCGAATGGAATCATGAGAAAGTTGCTAGAAAATGTTTAATGCGAAGTTCTTTTAATTATTATCATATCAATGCCTGGTTAATGAAGAGATCATAAAATTCTATAAAGTTTGGTGTTGAATGCTTACATGCACCCTTTTCTTTGTGAAGGCACTCTATTATGGTGGCTTTTAGCATTGGTTTTGTGATGACATTCTACAGAGTGTTTGATGTGCCTGTCTGTTGGCCAGTACTTCTTTTCTACTGGTTTACCCTCTTCATCCTAACCATGAAGAGACAGATATCACACATGATCAAATATAAATACGTTCCTTTCTCCTTTGGGAAACAGGTATTCCCTCTGATCCGTTTTCCGAGATACTTGGTGTCATATTTTTCATCGGTGTTATTCGATTGTGCGCTTGATGTTGCTAAATACACGTCATTCTTTGTTTCTTTTGTTAGCGATACGATGGCAAGAAGGTGTCTTCAAAAGAAAGAACCAACCTTCCTACGGATTAAATTCAACAGGTATTATCAAAAACATCACCAATAGTATATTGCATATTTGTTCATTTCCTCTAGCTTTTTACTGAGTTAGCCTTAGGATGCTAAAGAGAAGCTTTTGTTTTGAGAAACCAAAGGTATTGCCAAATAATGGTTTGTAATGAAAGGGAAATACGACATTCCTTGTCACCTGTTCGGTAACTTCTCAAATGTATTTCGCAGAAGATGGAACCAATCAAGCAAGTCCTGTTAATATACATCATTTTTAGTTGTGAAGTTGAATTTATGTATGTTAATCCAAATTGCTAGAGAGTACTCGGCAAATAAAGATAGTCTTTTGAATTTAAATTGCATGAACCACAAGTCGCAACAATACCAGTTTTCCATCTGTTGTGCTTGATACATATATATATATATATGTATGTAGAACAATGATAAAGTCCGAGTATATCATTACTTTCTGTCTTTCTGGTCTTCAATTGCATCAAATATTCAAGCACTACCTATATTCTCCGTGCTTTCGTTATCGTAAGTTTTGATGATATTTGCCTCATTCTTAACTGGATAGGAAGCCTCCAATGCAATGCCGCACTTGCCTGTATTAGTATTAACATTACGCTCCATCTTTATATATCCATTTTCACCCCACTTGCTTCTCCATGAATTCCTCACAATCCAATAATCTTGACCGATATCGTTGGAGCCATATCCGACAACGACGACACCATGGTCTAAAGCAGACCCGCATTCACCGTTGAAAACTCCCTGAAAATATGTTCAAACAATGACAAATTATTAAACACGCCGTTTGTTGTAAAGAATTGTGAAGTGACAATTTTGCATGAGACGCATAGATGAGCTTACCGATTCATAGAGATGGAAAGCTCTGCCACCGGCTTCAATGGCGATACTCACAGGCTGATGGGCGACAGCCTTTTTTAAAGCGTTCTCATCATTCGGAATAACACCCTCGTACCCATCAATGCTAACAACCTTAGCATTTTTCTGTTAAAAGAAAAAGAAAACATCAGAATCCATAAACTGAAACTGCAAGATTACTGACGAGTTGGGATGTAAGCATTGAAAACTGACTTTTGCTGGATCACATTGGCTATCAAAGCCAAGGTAAGGATAGTCTTTTTCAGTGTCGATGCCTCCATTATCAATAATGAATTGGAAGGCATAGTCCATCAGGCCACCATTGCAACCGGAGTCGTAGGATCGATCACAATCTATGAGTTCTTGTTCTGATAAAGAGATTATTTCGCCGGTCACAATTTTGTGTTTATGCCTTCCACTGCTGCAATTGTTGAGAATGCCCAACAACTTCCTGCAATTGTAACCAAATTATTAAATTTTAGGTAATCTTTTGACTGGTATATTTCTATTTGAAACTAAAAAAATAATGGCGAATACCACAAAGCCTTAAACCTTAAGTAATCTAATATTATAATCTGAAGTTAGAAATTAAAAACGAATACTCACCACAATTTCCTTTATCTTTCACCGGGCTGACGATTCCGTGCTCTCTCCAGTCAACCGAATCCGGTAAGTTCTCGCCGGCACAGTAAGCATAACGTCGGCTGGGGTTCTTGGACGTCATGACTCGACGCATTGGGTCAGTCCTGGTGCCCAAGAACTTGGCTCGGTACTCTTGGTTAGTTAAATCAGCAAACTTATTCAACCCAAGCTTAAATGTAGTGTTCTTAAAGTTATGTTCATCAATGAATCTCAAATTATCCTTAAAGATTCCGAACCTCATCTCTTCTTCTCCAAGTACGCTTTGGCATGCTTAACGAGCCATGATTTGTACAACCCCATCACTTCATCATCGCTTCTCCAGCTCGATGAAGAAGAAGCTAAGGTGAAGAAGCCAAGCTGAAGAAGAAGAAGAAGAAGAAGAAGAAGGGCGGAAAGGTTTACTTCCATGTGAGATTATGAAAAGGGTTTGTTTTCTTGGAGTGGAAGTCTTTGATGAAATAAAGAGAGAATGTGGGGCTTATAAAGGCAGAATGAAATGGTTTAAATAATTGAAACCGCACCGTAGAACGGTTGGGAAAATAATTTTAAAAGAAGGGGCGGGGATGGGCGGGGCGTTGGAACTTGGACAAATCAAATCCTTTTTGATGTGAAAGATTTCCCAGGGTAAAGGGTTTCTCTTAGCCTACCCAAGAATGGAAGCAGGAAGACCATAAAATATTTGGCTTATTTTTCAAGTAATTAATGGTTTGCAGCAGAATTGTTTTAACGCACTCAAATAGTTGCAACTTGCAAAATGTATAAACCCCAAATTTGCTCCAATATTCATACTCATCTTTTTCTTGGCAATTTGATCATATGCTACACCCCCATACCACTAACATGCTTTCATGTTCTTTTCTCCATTCTCACTCATACGAAATTCCATTGGAATAAATGTTCCAATTTGGATGGAATCTCTCAAAATAAATTAAACTTTTTTCTGTCAGTTTTGTTATCACAGTATCCCATTGCATTTTTATTAAATTTTTTTGACATAACCCAATGATATGATGACATATGTAATAAAATAATAAAATTAAAAAGTCCTCAAAAATTAGAGAATTCAAATATAATAATAAAATTCATTTAAAATATCTGAAATTCCTTTTACAAACTCCAAAAGTTTTTTAAACTTTTTAATGATTTAATGATTTTTCTTTAATTTTTTTAAAAATAAATTAAACATAACTATAATTTAAAAAATATATATATAAATTCGACACATAAATTCTGATTTTTAAACATTTTCCTTTTTCTTTTATATGTTTAGGGTTTTCTATATTTTTAGAACTATTTCAAACTTTTATGTACATAAGAAAGTTTCTGAATGAATCACACAACACTTTTTTTATTGGAAATAACAGGATGATAGTACAAATATCAAACTGAGAGAATAGATATACATGTACCAAAACGATAAAATAAATAACATGTTCTAAACTGATAATTCCGCTATAGTATAATGGTCAAAACAGTTATTAAACATAAAGTTTCATTAAATTTATGGCTTCTCAATCAACTAGTTTGTATGTGGTTTCAATGTGAGTATCCCAAGAAAAAAAAATCAATGATTTAAAACTCCAAAACTCCAGAACCCATTGAAGTAAGGCAAGTGCGGATTTGACACAAATGATTAAGTTCGTAACTTTAAGAAAGGTCTTTGTAGAAAAATGATTTGACACAAGTGCCATTTTTATTATTATTATGGTAATAAAAGATTCCTCATTAGCTTCACATAGAAGAATGGTTGGTTGGTGATTTTGGAGGTTTTCGTCGGGTTCATGGCAAAGCCGATATGTTGATATAATGTTAAATATAATGGCCGATAAGGTTGTAAGATAGCTGATAGGTCCATTTCATACTAACATTTCAGCAAAATGTTAAATATAATGGCCAATAAAATAAAAAGCCAAGGGAACCCTTTGAACCACTCTGCCTACCCTGTTTCATATTAACTGTTACGTATAATAATAACAATAATCTTTGGTTGCAACCGCTGCCTCTCCAAAAAATTTCATTCTTAATCTACAGGAATTCAAGACACAGAATGAGGTGTTTGGAAATGAAAGAATTTTTTTCCTTCTTAGGTGGTGTTTATTTTCGCAGAGGTAAAAGATCTGCAGTATGCAGACTACATCTGCAAGCATCTGTAGCAGAAGAGGTGGACCAAAAGTCTACAGTATGCAAGAAGAAGACTGCTTGTTTTTTAACGTCTGCAAACTGCTAAAATAAACTGAAATATAAATAAACTTATTTTTTAAACTTAAAAGAATTTTGCAATATTTAGATTTAAATAATTTTAGTTTTACAATACTAAAATTTAAATAATTCATACAACTACAATAATAATTTTTTTTTAAAAAAAACACTACCTTATTAATTATATTATAACTCTCACATAATCACATGTATTTTAGTTTTATAAGTTTTATAGAATAAAATTTATAAATGATCATTAAATTATATGATTTTTTTAAATATGCAATTATGTAATACTTTTAATTTTTTAAATATATATTCATAATTTATTTTTATAATTATATAATATTTATAGAAAATATTTTTTAATTTATCAAATTATTTTATGATTATTTTTTATTTAATTGTGATTATATTTTAAAATTTTAAAAACATAATTTATAATTTTTTATATCTTAAAATAATAATTATCAAATAATGAAATCATTTTTTATTAAGCAATGTGGTTTAAATACTTACATTTTGTATAAAAAGTTTAAATATAATTTAAAAATAACAAATCCAAAAAAATATTATATTTAAACTTAAATCAAAATAATTAAAATAAATATAAAATATTAATAATATATAAAATAATTTATATGATATAAAATTAAATATCTATAATATAATATTAAAAAAATTGATATTAAAATTAATATATATATATTAAATATTAATTTTTTAATATTATATTATATATTAATTTAATATTATTTTTTAATATTATATTATAGATATTAATTTTATATCATATAAATTATTTTATATATTAATATATAATATAATATTAAAAAATTAATATTTAAAAAACAAACGGTATGCGAAGCTCAATGTCTGCGCGGCGCAGACATAAGAGCTTTGCAGACCTTATACAGTAAAAACAAACACCACCTTAGTGTTGTATCTAACCTTAAACCAACAACGGATGAAAACTCTATGAGTTCTATTGAAAGATTATGTATAAATTTGTAAATGAAAAGCATGTCAAATGTCAGCATCTTGCAAGACAAGAGAGCCAGACCTGGCTGACATTCCTCGACGAAACAGAATATCAATCACCCCAACAAGCTATAGATGGAAAAATAGAAGAAGAAACTAGGGAGGAGGAAGAGAAACTCAAAACAGAAATGAATGTATAAACTGGCCTGCTGCAAGGGGTGTCTATTCATTCGTACCCAACACCTGAATAAGATCATCTGCATTTCTCCCTTGTCAATCAAGTTTCTTCTCGCACAAGTTTTGAATCTCTTAATGCATGAATTGCCAACCATGACTTTAGTTTTGTTCAGAATGACTTGTCGAAACCTGTGTCTGTTCTTGTTTCATGCTTCCTTTTGCTTCGATGTTTTGATCTGGATGTTCGGGTTTTGGTAGTATGTTTCACTATGGACTCTTGAATGCCCGTCTCTGGTTTTTCTTTCGTAGGGAGTTCAGGGGGAGCATCTGGCCATGGAGTGCGTTTTGATGGGATGGTGACGTCCAAAGGAGGGTCAATAATCCATCTGCATGATGTACAAACTAGTAATTGATGGGTTGTCCAACAACTATAGCATGCAAACCAATACATGCATAAAAGACAACTATAGCCCATATGTTTAGAATGCTGCATGAAGCATCATGGAAACATGTTATACATTATGTAATACACACATATATGAAACAAACAAACAAAAGAAGTAACTTAAAACTATAAGGGTATAATAAATATACTTGCAATCACAATGAATTCCTCAAAAACGCATACGTAATCATATCAGAAAAGGTAAAAAAGTTACTTCTACCATCCTAAGTTGAATGTTATTAATTGACACCATTCAGTAAACAACTTAACAAATGCAGAGACTGCTAACATATCAGTCCACAAGTAGGATAAGTCCAAGAGAGAATACTAGACCAAATAATCTACAAGAGCAACAACCATGACCGCTCAACAATTACTTACTCCTGTTCAACCCCCATGATGCACCATATGACTGAAGATTTCACTACCATATGACTGTATGGTCAATCTGACATCAATTTCATTATCTAACCTTGTAGAGTTCATATTCATCAAACCTCAATCAAGTGGGAAAAAAATTAACATATTTGGCACAGCTATAATTATTAAACTTAATCATTATAGACGAGCTTATATTGTCATTGGTCTTCTTTTTAATCTTTAGTAAATAGGCAGCACAATACCAAAATATAATGAGAGTCAGATGAGAGATTCACCTGGGAGGAAATTTGCTATCAGCACGAGCTTCAACTCGAAGCCACCAGAGTAAAACTTGACGACCACAGCTTCCAAGTGGCTCCACCATCAAAGGTTCTGTAATCAAACCCAATGGACTCTCAACATCCCCATCCAACTTATCTATATCCTTAATCCATTCTGGCTTATCTTCTCCACTTTTCCAAAGTAACCTAGAATTCAAAACAAACCCTGACCACTCCAACTTCCTGGGCAGCACAGTCAATCTATCATCAATATTAACAGCACTTTTCCCTGCAAAGGGCAATGTATTAAAAGTATGCCATCCTGCCAACATACTAGATGCATTACACGCTGGACCTTGAATTGGCATTATAGGATTCTCCTCTTCCTCCTGATCTGACGACTTATCAATATTAGCTGAAGTAGCAAGTATTCCAACGGAAACTGCTCCGAACCATTTCACATTTTGGATCTCATCAAAAAGTTCCATACTATGCATATTACTATCATCCGCAAACATAACAATTCCATCTAGTTTCTTCTCTCTTACAATTCTGCCATCAAAGTAACATAAAATTGGAGTCAACCACCAATTATAACAACCTAATTCCGAAACGCATAATTGACATGCCATCACTTTTTAATTAAATGAAAATTTAATAAACGATTACCTTAAAGCGTGAAGCCGCATTTTGGACTCCAATTTATGTCGTTCGTCCCAGGAATTCGGCATCCGTTGATTGAATCCGAGGTGGATAGTTTTCAAACCAGATTTTGCAATAAGCGACGCCGTTTCATTA